GTACTTGCGCTGTGCGGCTTCCCGGGCGGGGACCGGGGCGCGCGTCCTGAGGGCGGCTGGACTCGCGTCCTCCTCTCTGGGCCCCGCCGGCCTCTCTCTCCGCCTGTGTCCGTTTCTGGTGACTGTCAGGGCTGCGGGACCTCCCCCTCCTCAGGGGACTTGGAAAGTTGCTACCGCTTAGGATCCGCAGGATCTCTAGAACCTCGAGTTCTCGGGAGGATCTCACTCAGACCTCTCAGAACGGGCCCCGAGAGCCTCAGCGCGAACGCGTCCGCTCGAAGTGACTCGGAATAGGGGAGGGTCGAGGTGACAACGACTCGAGGTGGAGAGGGTCGGGTGACAGGGGCTCAGGAAGGGGGAGTCGGAGTGACAGTGGCCTGGGTGATTGCGTGGCGGCCACAGTGACTCGGAGTAGAGGAAGGCTGGGGTGGCAGTGACTCTCAGAATAGAAGGCCACAGTGACAGTTCAGGCATCGCCTGGGAAGCTGAAGTGTGCCTCTCCAGAGACCCAGGAGGGCATCCCGGCCACCTTCCCTTCCCCCGGAAGTCCGGAGGGTTCCGTGACCCCGTCAGTGTGGTCCTCAGGTGGGAAGGCAAGGCACAGGCAGAGCCTGAGGTTGAGGACTCGAGGTCCTGCGAGGAGGCGAAGTAGGGAATCTGGGTTTCAGGACCAGTTGCCCAGTGAGGTTGTGGGACGGATCGGGCAGCGACTGCTGTCGCTGTCCATTAGTGACTTTTTCTTCCGCATCCATTAGTCCCTCCCCTTTGTGTGAGCCCCAATGCTTTGAGTTGTAACATCTTGGGGCTTCAAAGACTTTAGGGAAGTGGCTGTCATTCTGGACTTTAGTAAGCTTTCTGGCTGTGGGATTGTTTGTGGTGGCCCACACCTGTCATCCCAGCCCTCAGGAGGCTGAGCAGGAGGATTACCGTGAGTTCAAGGCCAGCCTGAACTACATGACCCTGTCTCAAAAAAACCCAAAATGGACCAGGGATTTATTTAGCTCAGTGGTGCTGCGCTTGCACGCACTTGCACCTTTGATCCCTGATACAAAAAGCAAATCAAAACAAAACAACCCAAAATAGAAAGAAAAAAAGAGAACTTTAGTCCTTGAGATCAACTTTCTTGTTTCAGGAGCAGGGTGGCCTGGGCCTGGAGAGGTGAGGTGATTTACCTAAAGCCAGTGAGTTAGGAACAAAACCTGAGTCAGACCCGGGCTTAGCTATCACTACATTCCCTGCCAGAGCTGTGTTGTTGTTCTGGTGACTTTTTTTTTAACTCACTCATGCCGCAGATACTGGTTCAGCTCCTGCCAGGGCCAAAGCCCATGTCACACACTGGGGTCTTGCTGAAACAATCCAGGCCGTGGTTCTTGTTTTAGTGAGGGAGACAGTGAGTATCATGTAGTAGGATGTGAGGTAGTGATGTGGTGACCCTGCCAGCAGTGAGGGCAGGAGAGGGGTGGAGTTGGTATGGCGCTGTCCTGCACAATGCCAGCAGCTGAGGGCATCTGTGTTTGTAGGAGCGACATGGAGTGGGCCAGAATGGGTGAGGCAGGATCCCGAGCCCTGCCAAGAGCACGGTCAGTAGCCTGGAGCACCTAAGCTCCAAGGGGAGCAGCAGTGGGTGGCCGGGGTCTGGCTCTCCAGGGTCCACTGGCTATTTCTGGCTGCCCAGCACCTCCAAGCCGCCTGCTGGTTCTAAAACCTCCTATAACAATGCTCTCGGACTCTGCACAGTGCTCCCAGGTGCTGTGTGCCCCGTTTTTCACCCACTCAGCCTGTGGGTGGTGGTGGGGTGCTGTCCAGCCTAAAGTTGCTCTCTGAGCTACCTGGCTTTTCAAGACCTGTAATTTAGCCCCTTGTCCTTGTGAAGCGCCTTTGTTCAGTGTCACAGTGCCTCTTCTGCAGACCCCTACTATCCTCTCCGTGGCCTGTGCCAGCTTGACACTTAGAAGTCTCTCAGTAGCATTCCCAGCTGGGAACACACCTAGATTTCACTTAAAGTAGTGTTGTTTTCTATGCTATTTGCCAAGTATAGTTTATGATCTCCTTTGGTGTGACCATACAAACGTGCTTTTTTTTTTTTTTTTTTTTTG